CCAAACGTGCTTAATCACAAGACTCTATGGAAATTTGTCGATGACGCTTGGGACCAAACACGCCGTGGGCTTATCTGACACATTGCTGCATCAGTCATTCGCTCACGGGTCTATTGTTACATCAGTCGTCGCGATATAGGGAGTCACGTCGATCAGAGCCGGACATCAGGGGAACAATTTGCACACAAGGTTTTGATCACACCTGATGAAACACCGATGCCGTGGACGGTCAGGAGGTCATAGGCTACATATTGACAGCAGGTGAAAACAAACAGACATTGCAGTGGTAACCAATCCATCAAGACAATGTCAGGATGGTCATTACAGGCCCTGACTAGTTCAGATTCGCGAAGGTAATAATGCAGTTTTCCTAGAATTCAGAATGGACACGTTCTGTATAACAGAAAGTGACTAATAATAAACAGAAAGTTTCTGCGTGAGAGTTTGGAAACGTTCGCCTCGAGGCCAGTTCCTATTTAGCGCGAAAGCGAACACAAACGCAGAACTGTGACATTAGATCACATATCTGTGCTACAAATTCGCAAAAGTTGGGCACATTTTAATCAATTTATTCATGCAAATGCTACACTGCAAATGTTTCGTGACCTCACATTCACAATCGCTGAAGTTTGAACTGGCCTTGAATACCAGGCATTAGCTTATCCTTAAAAGAGTGGGGCCTTACTCCTCCCTCAAAGAACACTTCAGTCATGTAGCGTGCATGTCTTTTACACGAACTCCTATTAAAATAGCAAAGAAAAAGTAAACGGAGAAAGAGCAAGAGTTCGCATACTCAAGTTCGGTCTAAATGCCGCGAAGCAAGGTTTCTCTCATCAAACAAGCATGACAATTTGGGACAGAAAGAGCAAGCAAATGGAAGAATCTATGACATCGGTGGGTTCGTTGCATGGAAATGGTATGCCTTGTTGCCCCTAACTGAACACCGTTTCTTCACTTGTTACTTTGTACATGTACATGAATGATGCGCTCTGTTACCCTTAAAACAAATTCAACATACCTTTTTTACTTTGCACTTTACTTACAATCTTTAAATTATGTGGGTGACCGATCCAGCGTAGGCTGAGGTATAGAGTCCTCACAGTGAAGGAGAGAATGAAGAAATATTCAGTTTTAGACAAGGGAGGAAAACCCCAGATAACTTATATCCATGAAAAACCCACAGAATCAGGTGGGGACTGAAAAACCCAATCCGCATGCAGACCTCGGCGGGATTTGAACCCAGACCGTAGAGGTGGAAGGCGAGGAAAGCGCCACTATACGCCAACCTGACTCCCAACTTACCAGTGAAATAGGAAAGGGCTGCGTAGCACTGTGATAGGAACGTTGACAAAATATAATTATACAATTAGTGCTCTGAATTATCCTATTGCCGAGCTTTCAGTAACTGGGTACCTTCGTCAGGGCAAGCAGATTCAGTTCTGAATGAACGCAGAAAAATCCAATGACTGTATAGCGAACAGTGATTGTATAAATATATTTTTGTCAACATTCCCAACATACCAGTCCCTCTTTTGTTGCTCCAACTTTCTAGGAAGCAGAACCAGGCAAACAGCCCAGAATTGCTGTTGTTCACCTATGTATGGATCTACATAAAGGTGGAAACTGCACCTGAGAATGTGCCGGCTGGTGTGACACAAGCTTTCATTTAAGCTCTAAACTTGGTTTACATTGTGCTAAAACAAGATATCAACCGAGTATCATGACACTGCACAACACAATCCAGAACATCGGGTCTAGCAATTATCCAATTTTATGAATTTATCTTCTAATAGCCTTATTTGGCAACCTGCTTTACAAAAAATAAATAAATACAAAACAAATTAATCAACTATAAAAAAGCTTTCACATCTACAACGTATTAAATTATTCCAGGGGACAGACTTAACTCGAATTTAGTGGATCCCAAAGAAGCTGACGAGAGAGGGCGATGCGGTATGTTGAAAATCTAAAGTTTTTGAGGGTTTTCTCTTCTGATTTCACTTCTTGCAACAGGTGTTGTACTCGAGACCGGTTAGTCCGAGACTGATACCAAAATCAGATAATTCGAGACCGAAACCAATACCTTCAAGAGAGACTGGGACCAAAACAGTCCCAGACTGAGACCAAGACCGAGACCACAGCTATCGAGACCATGACCAAGACTGAGTCCGGCAGAAAGTGGTCTCGAGACCTACATCACTGTATCAACATAATAACAATGCAATGTTTTAGGTACCACCTTTGCCAGTAAATATGACAGTGCTGCATTATGATCATAAGTATTAAAAACTTGAAAACCATGTAACGCGTCAGAAAAAAAATACAGAAAAATGGCACCCAGTGCAGGACAGAGCACCGAGATCTTCCAAAAAAGCTGTCAGAAGGACCTCTAAGATGCAACTCCTGTAGCTGGGAACACGTGTCTTGCATTTTACATGTGAGACAAGGAATAGTCATGATGGGTACTTTGCTGTCCTCCCTCCTGGGACTGGCTTGGGGTGCACTGCCCCTGTTGAGGGCTAACTTGCAGACATTTCCCTTCCTGTTGACTAATGGAATGGCACTTGGCCAAACGAAACAGGGCCCTTGTCATGTGGCTGTTAAAACAACCAACTACAAGGTAATTTTAAAAACCCCTGGAAAATTCATTCTATCAGTCTCCATAATTCACAAGATAAAAATCATCATCCTTAAGTCAATAATACTCCTAAACATTCTGGCACTACATCATTCAACATAAGAGGTGTGGTTCATATACATATAATGTCGCTATCATGGCAATTTAACACACACTAAAAGTCCCACTGCACTATGGCACATGTATATCATATATTACTACAACTGCTACAAGGATGGCAAAAATTCTGAAAAAAAAAGGACTGCAGTATGGCACTTCATTGTATATACCATTACTACAACTGCTTGGATGACTGGAAACAGATGGCAAAAGTGCTGAAGAAAAGAGGCAGAGATAAGGTAACGGGTATTAGACACCAAGTCAGTTGTTCCAACTTCATGGCTCTGGAAATGCTAATTGAAGACAGCAATCAAGCAGGTAAGGTGTAACTACACCTACATTGTATAAGACATGCACATATACACTACCATACCTCCAAAGTGGGAAATAAATACCCCTTTATCTAGACTGTATCAAAGTAATATGTACATTAATAAGAAAACCTTCCAAAAATTAAAGCAAAGTTCAAAGGATGTAGAGATTAGGCCCTAATTCACCAGGAAATGTTTAAATCAGCGTTTGACCATGTCAATTAATTTGATCGTTGTACATAATGTATCTGACTTAAATCTCAAGATATGTGGATGTAATTTATGTGATAGATTACAAGCATCATTTCATGAAACAACTACTGCCGTTGAATCAGTAAAATCTACGATGCAAATACAGCATTTTATAAACAATGAACATTAAACCAGCCATCCAAAACACTTTGTGGTGTTCATTCAGTTAGCACTGCAATTTTAGTAGTGAAAGTTTTTTTGTTGCAGACATTTTAGAAGTATATTATATTTGGGATGTACCAAGAGGCAAAAAGGCTATAAAATTTTTTTTTCAGTTTCAATGCTGGAGGAAACTCCCCAGACATTTTTATCTGGTATTCTTTACAAATCCTGCCGAGTTCATCACTGTAGTACTCGTGGGTCGACATTAAGCCTTTTTGCCCAGAAGCTAAAAACAGCTCCTGTATTTCAAATTTCAGGGGTTTTCGGGAGCTGTTTCACCGAACCCGGGAGCTGTTTTAGGTAAAGTCATATTAGGCTAAAAACTAATAGCTCTGCATTCGATTACATGCCTCTCAAAATAGGGTCAGTAGGTCGGACATTTTTGGGTGTCAATTTTTCTGAGCTGATTGAATGGCAGGAGTAGCGACAAGGGCTTCAAAAATAGTCTCGAAAAGTGAAAAAAAAACGTCTTAAACCTTGTAAAAATTTCTACAGTAGACAATTCACTAACTATGAACAATTCACACAATGCTAGTCAGGTACTGGTAATCACGACGGCAAACTGGCATACGATGCCCATGTATCGCGTGGTAACCATGCGTGATGCATCCAAACGGGCAGGCGATAAACCTTGTGCCGCGGTAGGATATTTTGTGGAAACACGCTCGCTTTAAGTACGAGCAAAACCGCCTCAATTTAAACTCCTGAACACTGAAAATGCATGTCATAGACAAGAGACCAAGTTCTTTGAAGTAACTTGCATATATCCTCTTGCAATATCGATGTTTTTTTGACCTGCAGCTGTAGGGTTAGGTGACTGTTGTTTGGCACATTTCCACCGCGTTCTTGGCGTGGGCGCAGCGCGGCGGGAACCAGCGCAGCTTTGCTTTAATGGATTAAACTTTGCGCACGTGTTTTCACCACTGCAACAGCGAAACGCGAAAGGAAGTCGTGAAAATAAGTTACCAGGCGCTAATCATGGTTTGTCGAACGCAAAAGCACAGGGGCGCCCGCTCAATGTCGACCCCTGCTGTAGGCATCTTAACTTCCAAGGGGCATCAACTCGCATGGAAATGGAAAATGATGACGAGTGGGTGGTACAGGCAAATAGAATACTCCTAAACATGTTTATCAACTCCCCAATTTCTCCTTTAGTTTTGGTTCCTTCTTGTGGGTTCCTGAAAGACCTATACGTAGGTACCTGCAGTCCAAGGCACCCCACCCCCGTTTGCTACATGCACTGACTATCGCCAATCCACGGCACTTGCATAGGTACATGAACGTAGGCCCATGTACAGTATGTACACGAGCCTAGCTCCAGTACCGAAGAAACTCCTGTAAACAGCTTCAACAATTATCAGCCAGTGGCACTCACATCACAAGTCACGAAATCACTAGAGCATATTGTTTTGGATTTTCTTCAGTCTGCAATTTCAAAGTCACAGGATCCTTTACAATTTGCATACCGTGCCAACCGATCTATCGATGATGCTGTATCACTCGTACTGCATTATGTGTTCAAACGTTTAGACGGTAGATCATCAACACATGCCTGACTTTTGTTTATTGGTTTCAGTTCTGCATTTAATACAATATCACCATCTAAATTATAAAATAAGCTCAATTACCTCTGTATTAACTCATCACTTTGTAGCTGGATTTACGATTTTCTTACTGATCGCAGTCAAGTTGTTAGAGTGAATTCTTTAATCTCAAACTCAACTGTTACAAATACCGGCACTCCCCAAGGGTGTGTGCTATCACCATTGGTATGTTCATTGTACACTTATGATTGTGTTTATTCATTTGATGACCGTGAAATTGTCAAATATGCCGACGACCCAACCGTTGTTGGACTTATTATAGGTAATGATGAGTATAATTATCGCAATCAAATTCATCATTTGACCCAGTGCTGCTCAGACAATAATTTGAACCTCAATGTAATAAAGAGAATGTAATGTACAACTCCAATTGCAATTGCTCCCCTTGCTATCAATGGAAATGATGTAGAAATTGTAGATTGTTTTACATTTTGGGGTATTTATTTAACAAATGTTCTGAGTTGGAATACTAATGTCATGCATGGCATCAAGAAAGCACAGAAACGGATCTTCTACCTCCGATGCCTGAAGAGTTTCCACTTATCCAGTGATCTGCTGGTCAAGTTCTATCGAGCAGTGGTAGAAAGTGTGTTAACACAATCCATCACTGTGTGGTATGGAAGTACCACCATGGCTGATAGGCAGGCACTGGAGAGAGTGGTTAAGTTAGCTGCACGTATTATTGTATAGATCTCACGCCAGTTTTAGAAATTCACAGATCTAGAGTGGAGAACAGGACTAGTGGTATTATTAATGATGAATTTCACCCAGCTAATGAGTTATTTGAGTTGTTAAGATCAGGGAAACGTTAGAGTAATTAAGTGTAATACAGAACGGTTCAGAGGAAGCTTTTACCCAACTGCAGTCAGGGGACTGAATGAAACCAAGTAATTTGTCACCTTGTTAGTTTTGAGTGTTATTGAAATTATTTTTATTGCTTAATTATTTTATTGTTATAAATATGTATTTCTTAACCTTTAGTGCTTATTGTATTTTAATGCACGAGAGCCAAAGCAATTTCTATTGTATATGTATGTATATAAAGAGCAATAAATCAATCAAATCAAATCAAATGTTTAATCTGTATACAATCTGTACCCTTGCACTTTTTTTCATTCAAGTCAGCTGTAACTTTCACGGACGGACTTGTAATGCACATACTTGCAAATGGCACGTAACTCATTGGTTTATTGGTCACTGGGGCCATGGGGGTACATGTAAGATTTATTACACAGCATAATTCAAACATGATGAAGTGAGCAATGGTGCATTATGTGTACAGATTACATACTGCAGGAATTTCACAGAATAAGTTCATGTACATGTTTGCTGTGAAGACAAGGCACATCGTTGGTTAAATACTTGCTAAGCTAAGGACTGGTCGGTCCTGCTAGTGAAAAGTGAGAAAATACATGTATTCAGGTATCATGCAGCTTGCGACTGGGCAAAATTAAGGTATTTCTAACTATTCAACGCTGTGCTATTAGATATGTACATGGGCAAGAGAGGGTATCTCGTTACCAAGTAACAAGGTCTGATTAAAGCATGAAGGGCATTTAGGCAAGTTATTTACACAACTCACAATGTAACAGAAGGCTTGGTTCTACATGTACCCTGCGGCAGGCTTTAAGTGAAATGGGCAAACCTATTAGGTCTTGGTTCGGGCCTTGGTGACACCAACAGTTTCGGCCCAGTCTTTCCCTTTGTACTGATAGAGGAGTACATGTTGTTGCATACACAGACAGCATGCAGATGCTCTTGGCTGTACAATCTCACTACATCCTTTTCAGAAAATTTCCCTTTGACATTAAATGTCTGATATCTATCTCCCCTTATTTGTATGGAGTAACAGGCACTGGTCTTTTTGTGATGCCATTTCTTATTTGCCGAAATTACCTACATGTATGTAACATGCTAAGAACAATGCTTAAAACCCTAGAAAAACGACAGCTATCTTCTCAAAAGAATTGTCCTTTATCAAGACCTTTTTTTTCCTTGCAAAGAAAGAAAGACAACTAACAACTTTGAAAATAGACTGGTTCTACTTGTACATGTATACAGAGCAAAGTAGCTCAAGTGTGTAAGTTGCTGTGGAAGTTAGTACCAGTAAGCAGAATGACTGATTTTTATCATGCAATGCATACAATGACTTCCATTCAAAACCAACCCAGTGGATAACAATGGGTATGCTTTTGAGGGTACTGTGTACAGTGAAGCTGAACATTAAAACCCATACAAGAATCTTGACCCATACTTCACAACTATGGCACATCATGATTACTTTTGTACAGTAAGCCTGTAGCTTTCCATTAACACATCCACTGTATTATTGCAGCAGAAACTGATGTACCCTACATGTACAAATGATTCACGTGTACACTGTCGTGTCCCTGGATCATTACAAAGGCATAGCATACTGTACAACCAAATTCAAATTGCACGCTTACAATTTTTGTTTATGCACCAGGCCACTGGCTGCGGGTAGCTTCTGGCAAAATATGCACTCCAGTGTAAATAGACCTGAACACAGTGCTGAATAACCATGCCTATTAATTTCCAAAGCTGTAGGGATATTTACTTGGCTTTGGTTACCCAAATAAAGGTATTGCACCGTGCCTCTGGGTTGTTCTTATGCCCCTCGGGTCTGGGACAAACATAGAATTTCTTACCCAGGTTAGGTCCTGGTTTCTTCACTGTTCTCAAGAGACAGGGTTCGTTGTGCCCTTTGCATGCAGGTGCTGGTGGGGGACCTGAGAGAAGCTGTTTCCAGACGGAGGCTGAATTTGCCTTACTCCGGTTGGATCCATCTGTCAGGGAGTCCTGGGAAAATCTTTTGGATTTTAGATTCAAGGAAGTTTCTGAAATACATGTATCTGGGGATCCCCCATTGGTGTTGTTGTCAATCATGGCATTTAAGTCTGCTGGAGGCATTGATGTTGATTTGACAAGTTCGGGCTTGGTAACAACATCTGCATCTGTCATCTTGTTCCCCGAATCAGCTTCTTGTGATTTCTTTTTTGGAAAGAAGTTCATCAGACTCCCCCTTCGTGGTTCGATGGGATCCATTTTAAATTTTTTCTGGGACCTGTGACTACCCGGGTCACTTCCAGTTCTTTTTAATCCGAGTTTGGAATCATCTCTTGGTCTGGATTCCTGCATCTCCACCTTGCGAGCAAGAGCCACTTTGCTTGGTGACAGCTTCTGAAAGAAAGACAGTAGCTTCTGCTGCTTTCCCAAGAATTCTGGCATGTTGCGGGAGCACAGCTCTGGGAGCTTTGTAGAAGGGACCGGCTCACAAGACATACTGGCCTTGACTGGACAGTGGTCTGAACCCTCAACCTCAGGCATGATATCACATGAGGTGACCATCCTCTGAAACAGGCCCACGTTGGTAAAGATGTAATCAATTCGCGTGCCGTAGTTTGTTTGACGGGCGCCAGTCCTGGTGGACCAGCAGGTGAAGGCTTTCTGTCTTGTGGGGTGGAAACGCCTGAAGGTGTCCACAAAGATGCGAGGGGATGAGTCGCTTGGCTTGTGCTGTTGCTTGTTAGAGCTGCTTTCACTGTCATTTGTCAAAGTCAGGGATGTCTCAGTCTCACTGGATAGCTTTCCTGGCGTGTTGTCATGAAGGAAAGAATTGAGCCACTGCCGACCAGGATGTTCTTCAAAATCCTTTAAATGAAAACAAACACTGAGGTACTAGCTTTTGCAATACAATTTTTTTTTATTTAATAAATTGAAAAACAGACACAAAATAACTTTTGTTCTCTCTGTATCAAGAACACTTAAAAGCATACTGTATTTACTTAAACGATTTCACATGATTTGAAAAACTGGAAAGAAAAAAGAAGTAGAATAAAACACACCTCAACCGAAGACAACCTAAGGGAACATTCCATCCCATGAAATGGCAGAAAATACCCTCCACTATAAATATGAATTATGCAAGTACTGTATGTGTACAGTTTAGCAGTGTATAATGCAATGCATACAAGCATCATTAAATAAATCATAAAGAAAACTGACCAGGTTTACTCTTGGTCAGGTTTGTTGAGAAACTGCAATTCGAACCTGCAACATCTGGAATGAATTAATGCTCTAACTACTGTACTATTCACAACCTTATGTTGGCAATCTTCCTAAATACTAGACTCTTCAGTTCCAATGTTTAATCTTAAAAGTAACAGATGAAACCTGTTACAGTGTCTGCATAATATCCTGATAGTTAAAGGAATAGAACTCTACATGTATCTATGGATGTAATGAGCTGAAAGTTGGTCAAATTCTTTCACTGCTTCCTAACTGCACACAGACAAACAAATCTTCAATCCTCCTGGAAGTACCGAGAGAAATGTAATTGTTCAAGATTTCCTAAGGCCTGTCAGAAAAGTAAATGTACATGAAACCAGATTTATTCATCTGAAACCCACGCACTGATATTCAGACTTATCCGTAAGCGTTTCTCCTATATGTATGTGCAGTTTTTCCCCCCAGTATGTTTCTATTAAGAGGGGGATATTAGTGAAACAAGTTTCACTAATATGTATGCAATTGTGTGAGCTGAAGAAGTGAATTCTATGTGGGAAATGGCATTCTGATGGTGTTAATTTCACATTAAAAAGGTTTCCAATCTGGTAACTTTCCATTGGAAATTTTTAGAATGTTTAGAAGTATTTACCGATAATGGAAACTGTGATAATATTTTTTAGCTTAGCTGAAGCCTTTTAAATACCAAAATGAACAAATTCATTCACATATGACTTATTTACTGGTATACTTATTAGAGAAAAAAAGCAAACTTGTAACAGGATAGTGTCCTGTAAACTCATCCTATTTAGGCTGAGCCGAATAACTGAAAATCCAATCAATTGTCAAATATTCGAATATTATTTTTCGAATGTGAATATTCAAATGCAAAATTCTTGGAAAGGGAGGAAAATTTTCTTTTGTTTTAAATGAGAAAAATTGCATTTGGAGGCTTGTTCCAAGCAGATTCAAATGAAAAGTGACAGAAACCTTACAATGATTCAAAAGGTACATTATTCATTAAAAAGTTAAAAGGAGTATACAATTTCAGCAGGAAAGAAAGTACTATTCGTCTCTTAAATCTTGCTAAATCATGGCTGGAGATACTAGTAGACGTGAGAAGCTATTGTAAAGATTATAATGTACAACTGTGCGTGTTGTTTCTCAGCAATCTGCCAGTCGGTGCGACTGAATATTCGGATATTCAATTGAATTGAAGGTCGAATATTCAAATAGTGAATTATTTGAATTGACTCAGCCCTACATCCTGTGAGTGGCTGCAAGGCCAATAGTCACTGTCAAATACTTGCTCTGTCACGATTTGGGTGTGAACCAATCACATCCAAATCATATCAGTATCGATATCCAAAGCTCTCACTGCATACACATAAGCAGGCACATCCATGTATAAACTCAAACAATCCTGACCAAACTTGTTGGGACAGGTGTCATTGGCCACACCCTCCTCAGGTCCCCAACTCCCAAGTCAATGTTGTCATCTCCAGCTGGAGCAGACACTGCGCATTGAGACCCAACAATGAGAGGGCCCGGGGATTGGGGGGGCCCAAGAGATTTGACCAGGATTAAAGGTACTCAAGTGGTAGACAAAGCTCTCACAGAAGGGGGGGGATGGACGGGCCTTCATGGCAATCGGTCTTCTTCCCGAGTCTGACTCCTTTTGTATCCTATTCAATTGGGCCCAAGTCAAACCAATACTGTATTAAAATGGGCCTTCAAGCTGTGTCATGTACAAACTGTAAAACTCAAGCACACTCTTTCAATGACGCCAAAGATAAAAGTAGCAGGACATGATAAACAAATTTTCATTAATTGACATGTAGCTTTGTTAACTTGATGCCGAGTGGGATGCTCGGTGAAAGCAATACCCCCTCATTTCCAATTCCTCATGTATGATCTGAAACCCCGTCTACCTATGAATCAACATGACAAGCATTCAAAGCCAAGCTGAACTTTTTTGGAATGAAAACAAACGGCACGCATAACCCTTCAGAAGAACATGGATGATGAGTGCTAAAAGCTTTATACTGTTAGAGTCATGTGTTGTAGATTATTTGGTGACTGTGTCACTCTCACAACTGACAATGCTGACATCACTTACCCAAGTGAAAAACACTCATCGGCAAACGGCACTGTTGGAGCATATCATGATGATACATAGCCTAAGTGATGCTGGGTACTACTACAAAGATGTGACCATTTTTATTCAAAATATATAAAAAAGATGAAAACAACAACACCTTGCTGTGGTTCATGAGATGCTGACACCATACTGTCAGCAACATCCACCCATTTGTTGTATAGAATCTACTTGGTATGTTCTGCCTACCTATACGTACACATGCCATTGTATGAAGATATCCATCACCAAACAGACAAAAACCAACAGACATTCAAACAGCCAGCTAAATTGCTATAGGTGTACATTACATTTATGCACAGGTACATGTATGTTTACACATATACATGTACGTGTTCAGGTACTTGATAGAGGGTGTTCAAAAAGGGACATCAAGCTTTTTTTCACATTGATGGACTTTTTCATTGACAGAAACTTCTTACACAACATCCATGATTTTTCTATCAGCATGCAAATTGCTTTGAAATATGTAGCACTTTTGTAATATTCATTTTCTTCTTGATCTGTATTATTACGAAAAATAAACGAGGAGATTGCACAGAATGAAGGAAACTTGTGAATATAATGTCCCTCTATGGCCCCATTGATACTGTTTTGTTTCAAAACCACTGAAGTGGCTGTATCAAGCATTTAAAATATGCCAGAAATCACAGCAGAAGGGAATACGTGTATATGTATATAAGGGATGGCATTGCCAAGTTGTCCAACCTGAAATTCTGAGGCTATGATCAGAAAGTTACAATCTGTTTATTTCACTTCATTACCTGGGACAAATTTGAAACCTGCTTTTGCCTTTTTAAAGGGGATGCGCCATGTAGGGTTAAATTGACATTATATGATAGTTTTCAAATGTCTTATATACAATAAGTTGGATTAAACCCTCTTTTATGTAATTAAATCAGCAAAAATTGGCGTTTTCTGTATGCTTTTTTCAGTCTCTGCCTGAGCTCTTTGCAAAAACTTATTGAAATCGGTTGATGAGGGCAGCAGACAAATCTTGGCAAAAATGTGACGTCATTGGATGGACTCGACTTTCCAGACAAGAATGCATAGTTCTGGAAAGACAGCTGATCGGTCCGTGCAAGAATAAAATTCTCTGCTCTGACGCGTAGTCGGGTACGTAACTTGTACGTGTCAAGTCAACCACATTTGGTCTTATTTCCCTATGCTCTTCTCTTTACACGGGGCAGAGCTATTGGACAACCAACTTAACGCATCGCATTCATTTTGTTTTGCATTGCGTCGTACACGTGTAATAATTTCTACAGTGAATTCTGAATTTCGAAAGAATGCTGATAAACTGTGTTGTTGGTGGCTGTTGTCGCAATCAAAACAATTCCCCGGAGAGCAGTTTTTGTAGATTCCCAAGCGATTTTTCACACCAGCGTTTGTAGGTCAGATTTATGGTTATACACAATCAGCTTTTTACGAGGACTCAAAATTCCAAAATACAACGTGCATGTTTATGTACACGTACTAGTACTGACACATACAAGTACAGCCATACATGAACTACCCGTAAACGATGTAAAATGGGACTATATTGCACTGGCACACTTGGACTTATTTCTGGTGCAAATAATGCTGCATGGTCATCACGTGTACGTGTCGATACCAAGAAAGTGACTTGCAGTGCATGGTGAAAAAAACTGTCGGAATGGAACACCAACTTTGACAACGTAGGTTAGCCTATAACCATGGACAAAAACTACTTCTACCATACAGCTATCGAATAACCAATGGTAGGACAATTACGTCTTTTCAGAAAGACAAATTTTTATAATGGTACAGGAAAAAATAAAATCATGACCAGTTAGTGTTTTGTTGTCGACCCTGCAGTTCGCTGTCATGCCCGTGGCCAACAGCCTCGAGTTGCAAAATCTCTTCCCGAGTGTATTCTGGTTAGAACTAACAAAGCAATATTTCTTGTACCTCATCAACTCCTTCAATGCGGCTTTCTTCATCAAATTAATAAGACGAACATGACAACTGATGGCTGTCATGATCGGAAAAAGCATCAACACTGGAATTATCATCGCCTGAGTCTGACATGATTGCACATGTTAACGCTACTACATTACGTACATGTTGACGCGTCGTTGCATAACAGTAAACAGTCACTAGATAAAGGACTCCATCCTATGACATCACGATTCTTAGGCATTTCTTCAGACAACTTTCTGTACCCGACGGCTGTCGTTTAGCTTTTGCTCTCTGACGAGAGTGAAATAGGGTCGTGAAAACTATAATTTTTAACATATTTCTGAGCATTTTGAAATTGTGCAGATAAGTTTTCTGGTTATATATATGTTTGTTTTATGTGTTCCTGCATGTTTTACAAGAAATCTTCCCAGCAGTGCCCATCCCCTTTAACGTTCCTTCCGGCATACCCCTGGTGCCAACATCCAGCGACTGAATTACAAGTGGCTGCAATTTTTAAATTCCAACCAAAAGGGTTTACTTCGATGCAGAAAAAGAAACTGTTCAGTGGGGACCTTCCATGGAGGGGAAGTGGCGGGTTGCCAACCTTTTGTGGGCCACGGGGGAGTTTTTGAACAGATGTTACTCACTGGGCCTGGATCACAGTTGTCAATTCGCCGGTGCGAGGCGTTGATGTCACCGACCACAACAACGTGCCTGGAATGTTAAAAAGTCATACACAGCCAATAAATCACTGGTGATCAGTCAATGTTTAATCTCTAAAATGTGAAAACAATTTTTATACTGGTAGGTGTTTAACAATTTAGTTGACAATTTTATACTTGCTACCAAACTCATAACACACAGGTGCTTCTATAGACCTCTGTCATGGGGTAGCCATCTTGCTTTACTACAATTCAAAGCAATTTAACCAAACTGGGGCCGTGTCCAAAACGGGCTTCCAGAGCTATGGCTAGGTCTATTGACTGCGTCTCCACGCATTTCCATTGGAGCGAAGACCTAGACCTAGCTCTAGACAAGAGATTCGGACGCAGCCTGAGACTGAAAGGAAAAACAGCCTGTTTCTTTTTATCAATATGTGAAGTTGAATTACTATTGCCAACAGGTCTACAGGGAATAAGATAAACATGACAGCATCATGATAAAAGTATCTATGCATCTATGATGAGATGAATCTAATGGTCTGAAAACTGTTCACTGCATACTGTAAATTTTTCAAGATCAATAAAATCCCCCTCCCCTGGATTTGAGGCTTTTAAAGTTTGGAATACATGTCTATTGTACCTCAGAGATTTGGTCACACTTTGTCTTACAAATTTCAGTAATGCTCCTGATGTGGGTAAACATTTTGGTCAAGTCCCATGGTGGAAACACTGGATTAAAATGGGGGGCCATGTTTCATACGTGTATTCTTAAAGGAATTCTGAGTAACATTTGAGGTACCTTTTAAATTGACCCAATAAATGCAAACCATGAATCCTTATGATTACATTTCACAGAAAGGCAACCACCAGTCAGATTAATAATAAATTTGAGATGTTTCCAGGAAACATTGTTCTTATCTCATCTTGTGTTATTTATTACAGGAAGTCTGCTGGGTTAGGATGTAACCGTCTAGGTTTGGTTTGAGAAGCCCTATTATTTGAATTTCTAATTAAAAACATTCTGACTTTCTACTTGCTAAACATGCAGCCATTTGAATACAGGAGACTGATGTTTTGTGCTATATGTAAATGTACATGTAAATGTAGATGCATTTAGGAATGCATACACTCAATCCCCTATTGCTTTACATGGGATTTCAGCTCCCAAATCAGTTTAGAAAAAAACAAGCTGTCGCTGGCGAACTACACATTCGGTTTTGAGAGTTGGGGGGAGGCATTGGTGAGGAGATTCTCAAGGAAAAATACTGCTTACGAACGTTATAACAACACGAGAGAGACAGGTTTCTGGTGGCCATGATGCAAAAACCGCCTGCGTGTTAGATTTTGATGTCTAAGTTTGCAGCTGTCACAGTGGTATGGTTTCTCAGAATTCGTAGGATTGACATAAATCAATGGTCTTCCCTTGCAACCATGAACTTGCTCTCTCAAGATCCCGGTGTCTAGGTCAGGATGCAGCAAATATATGAGTAGGGTACTTTTATGGGTTTGACAACCATGAAACTTGCTGTACAAGGAAAAGTTAATTTGAGAACTTTATTGTCAGGATTGGGTTCTAAGATTCTTTATGTGGTCATGTCCCATTTGTTTTATGAAAAGGTGTCCGAGGCAAATATGAAGCAATAATGTACAGATGTGGATATTATGCAACGCCCCTTGGGGTTGGGCATCTTGCTTTACTGAATGGGTACATTTAAAAGGGAAGCCATCAAAAACGTGCATTTTATTTGATACGAACATTAAAATGTATATCCTCCAACAGTGTGTTTTGGCAATTTTTCTTTGAAAGTGCCTAAAAAGTGAACAATCTGATCGGGTGATTTTTTGTCTTGAACTGACATGTAG